CAGTGTCCATGTGAGTAATTTGCCAAGCCTTTCTTCCCATGTGCCTCTGATGAACTTGAGCCTCCAGCCTTTGGTATTAGTCAGGTGTGTTAACCATTACTGCACCCCACCCAGAGGCAATGGTATTGTATTACATATGTAATACTTTTAAATTATAGAATATTTCATTATTTATGTCATACTAAACATGATTCTTTTATTAAGCACCTACAAATTCTCATGCACGCATAGATGGTGGATCCAGTCAATGCTACTGGAAACAGCAGTCAAGAGATGAACTGACCTCCTGCACTGGACAAACTTGCTGCATGAGCTTGCATTAAAGTGTTGGAGACAAAGAATGTCCCTTTGAGGAGTGTGTCAGTCCGGGCAGACTAGAGAAACAAATTCATAGAAGCTCATATGTGTATAGGAAACAGCTTTATATACAAAAGTAATTGAATATAGGGAAAATGTCCCAGCCCACTCCAGATCAAGTCCTTAAGTCCAATATTAGCCCATATGTCTGATACCAATCTATAAAGTCCTGTTCAGACTCACAAAACACATGAAGTGACACCAAATGCAGGAAGATCACAGGGTGGTGGGTGGGAAGTCTTGTGGATCCAGTGGTAATGTAAGCATCTGTGCTGGCAGGGGTCTCCACATGGCTTGTCCCACTCCAAGGCACAAGAGTAGTTCCATGTGTCTTATCAGCTGCAATGTCTCCCAGGGAGTGAGTAAGTGTCCCGCCACCAGCGAGCTACTTATCTCCTTAGTACCTCCAAATGAGGTTATCAAGTTAGGACCTGATTGACAGGCTAGACTCCACCCCTTCACTTCAAACTGACAACAGATTATGTAACTACCACAAGGAGTAAGGTGTGCATGATGTAAGTCATGCAGTATTGTCAAATGCTTCATTTGCATGTGAAAGTTGGAAAGTGAATAAGGAAGGTCACAGCAGAATTAGTCCATTTGAATTAAAGTGTTTGTGCAGAATACTGAAGGTACCATGGACTGCTAGAAGAACAAACAAATTTGTCTTGGAAGATGTACAGCCAAAATGCTCCTTGAAGCGAGGATGCTGAGACTTTGTCTCATGTACTTTAGTCATGTTTTCAGGAGTGATCAGTCCCTGGAAAAGGAGATCCTGCTTGGTAGAGTTGAGTCAGCTACAATGAGGAAGACCCTTGACATGATGTACTATAGTGATGACTGTAACCATGCACTCCAACACAACAACGAGTGTGAGGTGGGTGCAGGACTGGGCATTGTTCTGTTCCCTTGTACATCCTGACTCTGTGAGTTGGAATTGACTTGAAGGGACCAAACAACTATTTCTCATGCATTGTATAAAGTGCCGCAGGACAACAATGAGTCAGATATAAAACCTGTCTAAAGTTGCTCACAGCCTGGAGTGGGTGGCAGGTTTAGGACTTAGTCATATGATCAAGATAAAGAATAGGTGCTCCAGCAATTCAAGATATCCACCTTGCTCAGATAGGGAAAGGTTTTCAGAGAAATTATGTCAAGGTAAACTTTGAAAGATTCATACCAGTTTCCCAGAAAAGGAGAAAAGTAGAGTTTAGTACTGTTTCAAGAGAAAAACCTTACAATAAAATGTATGTCCATTTGTCTTTCATCCTGAATTTAATGACAAACCATTGAAAAATTAAAACAACTGGGTGGTATGGTCAGGCCTGCCTTCCAAGCAGACCTCCTTAGAAACCTTGTAGACATACTGTGAGCAAAGAGAAGAAGGCAGGCCCAAGCAAGAGGGGAGTGCTGGGCACAGTCTGCCAGGGGAGCAGGCCCCGAGAAAATGTGTTGCCTTGTAGAAAAGTTCACAACTGCAATACAACCAACAGAAGTCTGTGTGCTTTTCCAGGCATTTGCAATTCTGAACATCAGTTTTAATATCCTCCAAAATTATCCTACTTTCAGTTATCACTTTTTAACAAAATGGATTGTATCATAAGTAGACGAGGGCATATGGTTAAAGTAGAATAAGTTTACACGAAAAGAGATCTTTGAATATGTGTATTGTAAAGGGAAAGAACCAGTAGAGAAGACACATTTCAGAGGTTATAATCAGTAAAATGAAAAAGGGTGTGCAGATTGTGCAAACACTTGAATGATTTCACCTTGAAAGGAAATAGGCTGCAATTCCTAAGGGAAGAGGACTTTATCCTTGATCCAGATTTGTTTTATTATTTGTAAACTTTAGGTTTGTCTTGTTTCTTAAATTAACACACAGAATCAAATTACATGATTAAATAGCTATTCCCAATATTGCTTTTGAAAATTACATTGACGTTTCAAAAATAAAGTGACTATTCCAGATGTGAGTGCTGAGTTTTGTTGCTTGAATGTAAAATCATTTAAAATACATTGCATTAATAGATATACGCCAGTAAAATTTGACAGTAATGTGGTATGTCTTTATATTTATTTCACTAGGTAACAAATATTGGGTGTTCAAAGACACTACACTTCAACCTGGTTACCCTCATGACTTGATTACTCTTGGAAGTGGAATTCCCCCTCATGGTATTGATTCAGCCATTTGGTGGGAGGATGTTGGCAAAACCTATTTCTTCAAAGGGGACAGGTCAGTATACACATCTCATGAGGGCAGCAGTTAACTAATGTTTGAATGATGAGAAGTCAATATTTTTAGTCTGTCATAGAAATATACTGCTGAGAATAAGTCCATATGTATGAATATGAACATGTTAGTGTAGTCAAAGACATTTTTTAAATATGCTTTAATAATAGTCAAGATAATTTCATATTCAATAATCAAATATATTAAAATAATTTGACCCTGCTGTATGTAAATGTTAAAAAATGCGACTCTCTTACAAATTTTCATATACATGTGTGTAATATATATTACTTCTCTATAAAGCAATTCAGGCAGTATATAACTCTTGCTTTGCATGTACTTATAATTATAATTACTTTATTACAAAACAATTTTTAGAGCAGGATTTATTTGAATGTGCTGTCATACTCCATGTTATATTTTGATACTGGTACACTGTTAATTGTGAACCATTTGAAATTATTTCACTTTATTTGTATTTTCTGTTTTGTAGCTATGTATATAGGTATCATCAAACAGGTCTTTAAATCTATAAGCCATCCTATCACTGAACTAACAGAAACTTTCAGCTTTGAGTATATTATTTCCTTCTTATCTTGTTTCTCTTATAATTTCTCCTCTTGTGAACAGTGATCAGAGAAGGTAAATGTCCCAAGAGTCATGTGACTTACAGAAACCACTTTATGCCTAACTCCACCCCCTGCTCCCTTTTTGACAGTTGGTATAAGTAACCCAAACACAAACCTGTTACTGTCAAGTGGATTCCAACTCATCAAGACGCTGCAGAACAGAGTACCAATGACCCTTAGGGAAACTAATTCCAATTACTACTGTAGAAGCAGACTCCCATGAAGCATGTGGTGGGTTTGAAAACACTCCAACCTTTAGCTTAGTATCTCTTTACTTCCCCAATGTGGCACCTTAGTATAAATATCAGGGCTTAATCTGTTTGTAATTTAAAGATTACATATTTCTTAATTTAAACTAAAGCAATAAAAATGAAAAATAAATTTTTTCATCTTATTTTTTTAATTTTAATAAATCATTTTATTGGGGCTTGTACAACTCTTATCACAATCCATGCATGCATCTATTGTGTCAAACACATTTGTACATCTGTTGCCATCATCATTTTCAAACCATTTTCTACTTGAGCCCTTGGTATCAGCTCATTTTTCCCCTCCCTCATGAACCCTTGAGGTTATACTAATAATTTATAATTTTTTTTTCATATCTTACACTGACTTTTCTCCCTTCACTCCCTTGCCTGTTGTCCATCCCCCTGGGAGGCGGCTATAGGTAGAACATTGTGACAGATTCCCCCCACCCCCCACCTTCCCCTTACCCTCCTGGTATGGCTACTCTCAATATTGGTCCTGAGGTGTTTATCTGTCCTGGATTCCCTGTTTCCAGCTCTTATCTGGACCTGTCTAGTCCTCTGGTCTAGCCAGATTTGTAAGGTAGGATTGGGGTCATGATAGTGGAGAATGGGGGAGGCATTAAAGAACTAGAGAAAAGTTGTATGTTTCATCATTGCTACACTACACCCTGACTGGCTCGTCCCCTCCCTGCAACCTCTCTGTAAGGGGATGTCCAATTGCCCACAGATGGGCTTTGGGTCTCCACTCCGCACTCCACCTCATTCACAATGATAGGATTTTTTTGGTCTGGGTCTTTGATGCCCGATACCTGATTCTATTGACACCTCATGATTACACAGGCTGGTGTGCTTCTTCCATGTGGGCTATGTTGCTTCTCAGTAGATGGCCACTTGTTTATCTTCAAGCCTTTAAGACCCCAGACACTATATCTTTTGATAGCCGGGCACCGTCAGCTTTCTTCATCACATTTGCTTATGTACCCACTGTGTCTTCAGCGATTGTGACGGGAAGGTAAGCACCACAGAATGCCGGATTATTAGAATAAAGTCTTCTTGCGTTGAATGAGTACTTGAGTGGAGGCCCAATGTCCATCTGCTACCTTAATATTAAGCCTATAAATATATGCACATACATCTATTTCCCCATCCTCATATATAAATATATTTACATATGTGCATGCCTCTATTTAGACCTCTATAAATGCCCTTTGCCTCCTAGTTCTTTCCTCTATTTCCTCTTACATTCCTCTTGGTCCACTATCATGTTCAGCCTTCATTTGGGTTTCAATAATTCCTCTCAGTTACATTGCTGCTTGATCAAGCCCTACCAGGCCTTGTACACCCTCTTCGCCATTGATTTTAGACCACTTGTTCCCTTGTCCCTGGGGTTGTTGACACCCACTTCTTTTCCCCCACCTCCCCTACTTCCACGTTCTCCTGAAACTGTCAGTCTCATTGTTTTCTCTTCCGGATTGTTTGTCCACCTATCTTATCTAGATAGACATGCAGAGATAATATGCACAAAAACACTACAGAGGGCAAAAAACAAAGCAACAAAGGAAAACAAAACAACAAAAAAAAATGACAAAATAAAGAAAAGCCTATAAATTCAAGGTTCAAGGTCTGTTTGTTGACCTTTAGAAGTGTTTTCCAGTCGAGTCTGATGGCGTACCATGCCTTGACCCCACAGTCTACTTTTGGTATTTCCCAGGGACTTCCTTGCTATGCTACCTTTGCTGCTCTGTTGCACACCCTTAGTGTTTCGCCTCGGTGTGGTGGGGTCAGATCGGGCACAATTCCTGCACTGTGTCTCCAGTGTTGTCCCCCTTAGTGCTATGTGCCAGTGAGGGACATCATGTCTCTTGGTGGGGGTGGCCCTATGATCC